TCAGGCCTGATGATGCTCAATATAGTCAATTTTTTTTGTGTGTGAAAAAAGAAGATAAAATGTCCAGCTATGCTCTGTGTTCAGAGTTTTATTGAATGTGGGGCACAGAAGTTTAACTTCCTGAAATGTCAAAAATATTCCCATCTATGAAAAATAGCTACATGTGATCATGGTCAACCTGCAAGTTAACACTTAAAGGTATTGTAGGTAGGATTTTTTTTTTTACTTTTTGCCAAATTTGTTTAAACTTTCTATATATATCAATGCATAATTAAAATGTAAGTACTCTGGAAAAGAGAGTATAAAAATCGAGTGTCTGTAGTCCTCTCAGGGCTGTAATAAACACAGCTACTTATCTCCATTCACTTCCACCCCCTCCATTCTGGGCTCCTTCCAAAACCACGCCCCCAAAACACATGAACGCGCGATGCCGACAGCTCACAGCTGGAGGACGCGCTTACCAGCGCCGAGCGGAGAGGAGCAGTGCATGTAGTGACATCATGTCAGACTCACATGTAATAAAATACCTAACTTTATCATTATGAATATAAACAACTAACATGGCTGTTAGTACTCACTATCAAGCTAGCATATCGATACTGGTAAAGTTTAAAATATATTGAGTTTGATTCGTTAACGAGCTAGTAACATAAAGCAAAGCTAAAAACAGGTTGCATTGATACACGTTTTCCCATTACAATCAGTTACACTGTGATGAAGGTGAATTTCGTGTAAGATTCATAACATATACGCCGTGTTTTGCATGTAATTGTGTCTCTTACTAGTCTCTTACCCTCCTCGAGTCAAACGAGTGTGCGCATGTGGGCAGCGCATGTAGCAGCGGGGGTGTTGCCATGGTTGCGAGAGAGTGACAGTCGCCTAAGCCAATCCTTTGTTTCGTCCCGGAAGGAAATAATGAGCTGTGTTTAGTGCAGATTAAACGGTCTAGAGTCACTCGATTTTTATACTCTTTTTATCAGAGTACTTACATTTTAATTATGCATTGATATATATAGAAAGTTTAAACAAATTTGGGAAAAAGTTTTTTAGACCAAAAACGACCTACCCTACCTTTAACAGGCATAGGAGAAGCTCATATAGTAAACCCCTTCTGCACTACAATTTAATTTACCATTACTTTTTATGATGCAACTTCACTCCTGTAAGATATGGCAGATCTAGAGAATGGCATTTCTATGAGAATTAGTGAAATGGCATTAAAGCTTACTTCCAGCATTTGAAATATATCCACTGCTGAAGTCTTGGTCTTGAACAGCACTAGGTTTCATTAGATGATGATGGTGAGGGCTAGACAAAGGAAGTGAGCACTTAATTCCCATGTGTGTTTGTGAAAGAGAGAGAGCTCAAACAACCCATTGGACAAGGTGAAATATTGGGACCCGAGTCAGCCTGTCATTTTAAGAGAAGGGGGAGGGGGAGTGGTTGCCAAGGACAACAAGGGGGAGTGGAAAATGAAAACATGTCCCACTTTCCTTTCCCCATCCAATTTCTCTCTCCAGTGACAGCAGCCAGAGGTCAAGCCAGTGTGCTTGTGGAACTACAGGGACCTTCAAAGACTGCAGACTGGAAAAAAAATATTTGATTCATATTTCTACATCCATCAGCCAACTACAATTTTTGGCTTAATGTTGGAAAAAAAAATAGCAAACCATTATAGCAATTATGTCAGCAAAGTCCAAATGAATAAGGATGCAGTCCTTATAATGCAGCATATTTCCTTGTTTGTCTGAAATGCAAAAGCCAAATGAGCTGAAACATCATTGTACTGAACATGAGGACACATCTTATCATAACATCATCATATTTTTGTTGCGATAAGATTATGGATGCGTTGTAAACAAAAGCTCAATAAAACCTTATTTTTGAATCATACCTGGGATATGGTTAATCGATGCAAACGGATTTGCAGTTGTCTGATGCTTTTCAAGGTTATACAACTGGCAAGCTTCTCATGTTACATTGTACACAAGTACAACACAGAACACAGTCAGTCTGCAAAACCCTGGCACATTGCTACAGAGAGACAGTGAACTAATTCATAACAGCAAAAGATTTTATAAGGATTCTTGATGGACTGACTAGATCTACTGTCAGCTGTGAAGCATTTATCCCACAGGCAGCACTCAAGATGAGGATGGCCTGACGGTTCACACGTGAGACAGTTTCGGGACAGTTGGCCGAACTGTCACTTGTCCTATCAGGTCAGTGCTGCGTTGTCACTACATCTTGCATTCACTGATTGTGTACATGTGTTTTCATGTCTTGCAAACTAAAACATTTGTCACGAATTGGACGAATTGAAAAATCTGCTTTTTAATGACAAGTTAACATTATATCCAGCTGACTTATGTAGATTAGGTTTGCAAGAATGACTGGAGATAGTCTTGAAAATATCCATGAAGATTGGGTTAAAAACCAAAAGGTTTGGGGGTCAGTAAATATATATTTTTAAAGAAATTAATACTCTTATTCAAAAAGGACACATTAATCAAAAGTCGTTAACCTTTATAATTTTACAAAAGATTTCTGATTCAAAAAATGCTGTCCCCAAAAACAGTGTTTCCACAGAAATATTAAGCAGCACAAATATTTTCAACATGGATAAAAATAAGAAATGTTTTTAAGCACCAAATCAGCATATCAGAATGATTTCTGAATGATCGTGACACTGAAGACTAGGGCAATGACTGCTGAAAATCACAGGAATAAGTTACATTTTTAACAGTATTTTTGATCAAATGCAGCCTTGGTGAGCATAAAAGACTCTTCAAAAAAATCTTATTGACTGGCCCAAATAAACCAGCAGAAAAAAAAATTATTGTTAAGCCCTGCCCATATGTTTCATCTAGTGCCATGCACACTATGAATTGTGCTTTTTGCAATAAAGAATAGCCTATGCAGTATATTAGGCTAAAACAGCTCACAAAAACAAAACAATTAACGTTTTGAAGAATCTTTCCTCAGCTCATTTCCACACAATTATAGCACTAAATGAAGCACCAAAAACAACATAAAAAATACACAGCAAAAGCAGTTCCTCTGACTCTTGCATTAAGCCATGAGGAAAAGATCAAAATATAAGCCATTATTCACTGAGGTCCTAACACAAACTGCAGCAAGCAAATTATTGGGAACCGGATCAGTGAATAAAAAAAGCTGATTCATTAACTAGTTCTTTAACTATTAACTAGTTCAAACAATTTTTAAAAAATCTGACTGATCTGAATCTCAGCAGGTTTTTACAATCTCTCTGGATGGGAAGATTATCAATGAATAATGACTTTTAAAATCATATGACTTGCAGATTTTAAAAACCATATAACTTGTAGTATAGACTAGAGCACACAAGTCATATGGACAACTTTTATATTTCCAATTGAGCTGTGGTCACTGATCTTCAAGAAAATACTTCAAAAAAATGTCATATCTGGCGCATGAAGAAAGTCCTACAGGTTTGGAAATAACACGAGGGAGAGTAAATGATGGCAGAACTCACATTTTCAGGTCACCTATCCCTTTAACACAGAACTGCAGCACCGTCAGACGTAAATCTGACTTAACTGTTGGCACAAGCACATATTGCAGCACAGCAGCAGAGCAAAGGATGGCCTACATCACAGGAAGATGAAAAAAGAGGGGGAAACCCCTACACATCGACCACAGTCACAACACGTTTACAACATAGGCTACTGCAGGACACAAACCACAAACTGCTCTCTTCACTCAATTGTTTCTTGAATTACCCAAGTAGATGAACAACAATGCTGCTGATTGAGCTATATTAAGGACGACATTCTCTCAACAAAGAAGCGGCAGATAAAACCGCACAGAATTGGATTGGTTTTGTTTCATTAAACGTTTATCTTTGAATCTCATGGGCAGGCACAAGGCCATGGGGGGTAAGAGTAAGAGACATCTGATAACCAAGGAACTTGAAATCCAGCAATTTGGGTTGCAAAACAATTCTTCATTAGCAAATCTCACAACAAAATGTAAGGCTCCATGTGGGAAACTGAGAGATACTGTAGAGGTGAATGAACTCCAAACAGGATGGGACTTGAGGTAAACCAATTTGGTCATCAGTTAAAACTTAGCTTTAATTAGACTCTGATGACTTCCAGAATTCCAGAGGAAATAAACAGTCGAGACAAAGACAGGGGAATATGTCCCTGTCCACTAATTTTCATAAACAATACCCTGTCCAATTACAGAGGTCCAAAATAAGGCAGAGTCCAGTTGCCTCTTTTCTAAAAACAAATAAAGGCAGATCAGTGAGGCAGAACCTGATGCAGAAAAAGCTATCTCGTGGGGACTATACAAGCTTTTTACAAGCAGAAACATCTCTAACATGCCAAGTAAGCTTTTTGATCGCATTAGTATCAATAATGTTATGCTGGGCAACTGGAAGAGTAGGCTATCTCCTAAATCAAGCAAGTCACATATTTGAAACCAAACTGGTTACAGCATGCTGGTAGCTACTGACAGCTCCACTTGAGCATGCAAGTGTATTCCTAGTATGATTCTTCCTCTTTATTAAATGACGTGTCCGCATACATGAAGGCATTACATCTCTAATAACTGAAAACTACGCATTCTCAGCTAGCCTAGCTTTATGTGCATTTAGCATTCAGGTGGTTCTTAACAGCTCCTTTGGGTGAAAAAGTTACCAAAATGCGGATTCTGTAGTTGTTTCAACCTCTTTGTGCAGTAAACTAAAGAACTTACGTGGTGTTAATGTTTTCTTTTGGTTTAGCATGCAAGCTAACCATAATAACTAAGCTTTGCTTACTAGTTCTGTGTCGAAGAGTGAAATAGGTTACTATATGAACTTTAGCAGGTTATAATAACCAACATTGCGGATAAACAGTCAAAGACTGTAGTGGTTTTAATACACAAGGCATAACTGTAAATGTAGCTAATTCAGCAGCTCGCCATGGCAGATTAGCAAGCAAAGCAAAAAAGGAGAAAAAATGCCCTACCTGAGTCAAGTTTACTGCTCCACTCTTCTCTTCTTGCTCATAAAACGAGCCAAAATCCAAGCCAGCGACTTCTGATATTTGCTTAGCCGAGCAAATTCGCTTGCACTTTTCTTTCGTAGTGTTATTGAGTAAAAAAAAAAGCCTCTGCGCGTCCCAGGTTCACACACACATACACACATACAAACACATATATGACGCGCTAGCAGGCTGCTAGTACTTTTACGTTACACCATCCGTCCTACATTACTCGCTTTTAATGCCTCGTTCAACAACAAAACAGCTCAATTAGAGTCTGTGCTCTTCGCTTTCAGTTTCCCGTGAGCAAATATTACATGTAGTGTTGTATCTTCCTCTTATTCGGTAAAACAATGAGGGGAGGGCTAAGCTTCAGGATTCGGTTAGCAATGTCGCTACGCCATCTATCTGCTCGAGCTCAGATGAGGCACACTGCAAAAAGGTCCAATCAACCTTCTGTGTTGGTTGGACCTATGGGCCAAATAAGACAATAGTGTCGAACTGTAGTGAAGCAATACATTAAAGGCGATTTTTCAGTAAAATGATTAGTTTTTTATATATCTATACATTATTGTTTAAAAGTTTGGGGTTAGTAAGAATTTTTCAATAAATTATTACTTTTATTCATTCTTAAATTAATCAAAGGAGACAGTAAAGACAAGGTTCTATTACAAATAAATTCTGTTCTTATACATTGTATTACAATAATATATTATAGCTATATAATAATAATATATTATATATTATAATATAAACTTATAATAATAATAATAACCTATTATATTAGTTACATATATATATATATATATATATATATATATATATATATATATATATATATATATATATATATATATATATATATATATATATATATATATTACTTTTATAAATTCTTAAATCAATCAAAGGAGACATTAAAGACAAGGTTCTATTACAAATAAATTCTGTTCTTATACATTGTATTACAATAATATATTATAGCTATATAATAATAATATATTATATATTATAATATAAACTTATAATAATAATAACCTATTATATTAGTTACACATATATATATATATATATATATATATATATATATATATTACTTTTATTAATTCTTAAATCAATCAAAGGAGACAGTAAAGACAAGGTTCTATTACAAATAAATTCTGTTCTTATACATTGTATTATAATAATATATTATAGCCATATAATAATAATATATTATATGTTATAATATAAACTTATAATAATAATAACCTATTATATTAGTTTTATATATATATATATATATATATATTAAGAATTGTTATATTCCAATAATATAGAATTCATTTAATATGTTCATGTGTGTGTGTGTGTGTGTGTGTGTATAATATAATAATTCGTACTAAATATAATATAATATAATATAATATAATATAATATAATATAATATAATATAATATAATATAATATAATATAATATAATATAATATAATATAATATAATATAATATAATATAATATAATATGTTTATTCACTCAGGCTTTTTTTCCATTGGATGGCGACAACATCACATTATTGAACTTTGTCCACTAGGTGACTTCAAATGATGGCCTAATTTTTCATAAATCTTCATGACATCATTCATAATTTATGCGAATGTAGATTAAATTATTTTTAAAATAATATAAAAAAAGACTTATTTGTCATTTCAATAACTTTATACACACTATCACCAACAAAGGTTGGTATGGAGATTATGATTTCAAAAAGCTACCTTGTTTTCAGGATGTTTCAGATCACTAGGTTTAATGGTTTTGGGAGGAAAAAAAATCCTCAGCCACAATTTCTTGTTTCGACAGAAGATATCAAAATAGCATAATAACAGGACACAAAAAGATTGCTCACACCCAGTACATAAACCAAACAAAGAGTAGGGTGTATCCTGTGGACAAACTGTGGAAGTGTTGAATGGCAAGCGGTGTTCTAACATGAAAGACAAGCCTCTGTAATGTGATCACCAGCATGAATGAGGTGCAATACCACAGGCCACACTGACAGCTGACAGAACACACAGCCAGCTGCACTACTTTCTGCACTTTTATCTCCCTTTAATCTGCTCCTCTAATCAGATCTCTTGTAATTTGTAACTCTTTGTACTGGACACAGCCCTAAATCCACACTAAGCAGAGAGCCAGGTGTTTCTCGGCTACCTATGTTCCTGTGAACTCATGCTGTCAAACAGCGGCTGCAAACCATGGTGTAAATCACACAAGACATTAATTGTAGAAGAAAACATTACGATCTGGAGAAATATATTATGAGCCAAATGTGCTTTGCTTGTCTATTAGGTTAAGAAGAACTTTTTATAATTTTATGGGTTAGGGGTCCGAGTTGATGTAAATCAAGGACAATAATATGTCATGTTTGGTTCTTTGACAAATAATGACGTTATATGCTACTGTTTCATTTCACATCTTGTTGAAAGGGGCATTAAAGAAAAGTTAGTGGGGGTCGTATTGTCTAGGCCCCTCCCGAAGAGTGGGCTGGTTTTGAAAGATAAAGTCTATTATATGACAGGATACATCTATTTTCTCTTCAGCAGTCCTGAGGCAGGAAACCCAGCAGTTGCACTCAGTGAACATCCCCTCTTTCCTTCTCCCTTAACCTCTCTCTCTCTCTCTCTCTCTCTCTCTCTCTCAGACGCAACTAGACTTACTAGTGCTGACCCATACAGCTGGAGGGATGCTGGCCTTTCTGAGGGGAGCTGTGCAGCCAGTGACAGTCATCAGGGCGAGGGATATTGTCCAGAAACGGAACTCCAGCATCTACAGCAAGCCACCCAAAAGCAAGATTGGACCTGGGGTGAGTGAAACAATGACAAAATCCTAAAAGGTTGCAAAGATTCATGGGATCAGTCAAAGTTAGTTTAACTGAGGTCAATGGAGATAATGCACTCAAAAAACTTTTTTCCAAGATTTATGCATTTCAATTAATAGTAAAAATCAATTAATAAAGAATCCGTTCATATTATGAATTAAGAATATTAAATGAGTAAAAAAACGTAATACATTTTTTTTTTCTATGAATCGTAAACTTAAATTTAAATAAATTTTCTTGAATTGTGTAAATTTTGAAAAAAGGCTTACAAATATTTTGAATGTGGGATTAGCTCGGATGACTCTTTGTATTGGAGAACATAATCCTTGATTTTGGACAAGAACATAATTACAATGTCAAATCAAGTTTAAAACATTTAAAACATCAAATTTATTTCAGATAATTAGATATAGATAGACATATATGCATTGTATATGGGGTCAGTACTATTTAAAACAATAAAAAAAAAAAGAAATTACCTTATTCAGCCATATGCATTTAAATAAAAAAATGACAGTACAGATATAGTTAAAAAAGATTTCTGTTTCAAATAAACGCTGTTCTTTTGAACTTTCTATTCTTTAAAGAATCCCGGAATCTTTTTCTAAATATCACGCAGCACAACTGTTTTCAACATTGATAATAATGTAAAATCTTTCTTGAGCACCAAATCAACATATTGGAATAATTTCTGAAGGATCAAGGGAGACTGAAGACCGCACTGTAAAAAATCTTAACTCATTATATTTTGTTTCTTTTTTGAATTTTACTTCCAAAAGTTGAGATAATTGTAAAAAAAAAAAATACAGTGTGGAGTAATGGCTGCTGAAAATACAGTTTTGCCATCACAAGTATAAATTACATTTTAAAATATATTAAATAGACAACAGTTTAATAATATTATTTCACAATATTACTGTTTTTTAATTAAATAGTGGTGCAAATTCTGTAAGTATATGTAAAGCTGTTCAATTTCATGCGTTTATTCCTGTGTTTTTCTGCAGCAAAGTTTCTTGATTATGTCGGTGTTTGCCGTTGCCCTCCTGGCCCCTGCCGGGTGGATTCTGCACCACATCCCAGAATATCGTCAGAGAGCAAAACCCCCACCATCCTGAAGAAAGCACTGGTGTACCACAGACAGACCTGGCTGCCTCTAAAGCATTATTCACCTCCAGATCTTTATAACATCATGAGCAACATCACAAGTAATATAATAATAGTATGTAAAACAATACATTAATAAAATTATCCAATAATAAAATAATACAGTTAAACAATTGTTTGAGAGGGAGAAAAGGCCCCACTTGAATCTAATGAGAAATATAATTTCATGGTGTTTAATGCCTTAGGACTGTGGCCCTTAATGCCATTGTAAGCAGTGGCCCTTACTTCATGCAAAATGACTGCTTTTTTTCTGTAATAAATTTTTTTTGAATGATAACTTGTTTAAAACTGTTTTTTAACTTGTGTTTCACTGTGATAAATGTTCTTGGCTTGGGGGCACTGTTTAGAAGTATACACGGAATATATAGAATTGCCTTAAAGGTAGGCAAATTCTTTTAATCAGTCCTTGGATTTTTGCATTTCTATGTTCAATTCAATTCAATTCAAATGTATTTGTATAGCACTTTTCACAATACATATTGTTTCAAAGCAGCTTTACAGAAAGTGCATTTCAGAAATGTACATAGAAAAATACAGTTAGTTAATCATGTATTAATTTAGGGCATAACATATCGCCGGCGTTGAGTCGTCTCTTCACAGGCGTTTACCGTAGTCATCTCGTCGCAGGTGTTGGGGCATCTGAAGTGTCCGTGAGAGGCTAGATACAAACTGGAGCTGACGAACGCTATAACAGCAGAAAAGCAGATGGGAAATAATTAGCATAGCTGCTGTTCATAATATTAATGCATTCGATCTGATTCAACAGTGGTATAAAAGGTAAGCATTATGTGAATGCTTGGCTAAAGAGATGCGTCTTTAAAGTTTTAAACCGGGACAGCGAGTCTGAGCCTCGAACAATATCAGGAAGGCTATTCCAGAGTTTAGGAGCTAAATGTGAGAACGCCCTCCCTCCTTTAGTGGACTTAGATATCCTAGGAATGACCAGAAGCCTCGAATTTAGTGATCTTAAAGAACGCGATGGATAGGGCGATAGAAGGTCCATTAAATACACAGGTGCTAGACCATTTAGGGCTTTATAGGTCAGCAGTAATACTTTGTAATTGATACGGAACTTAATAGGTAACCAGTGTAGAGATGATAAAATTGGTGTTATATCATATTTTCTTGACCTAGTAAGAACTCTAGCAGCTGCATTTTGCCCTAACTGTAGCTTGTTTATTGAGGATGCAGGACAACCAGCTAATAAAGCATTACAGTACTCAATACCAAAATCAACACTATCAATACCAAAATGAATCTGCAGCAGTCAGGTGGTACAAGTAAGAGCTTTTTAAGTTGTTTACATTCATTATCATTGTAATGTTATGTGCTTTGAGACATGAGGTAATTTAACGCCACCTCTCGTGATGCTTTGCAGACTCTGCTGTGAGCGTTCATGTCTTTTGGAGGAGGCGTGGCTTTGGAGACATTCTGAAGGGAGGGTGGGATCTTGTGCTGCATCCCAATTCCATTACTTATAGCCTACTACTCCCTAAAAGTATGTACTCTTTTTGTAAATAAAAAGTACATACTTTTGAGTGTGTGGCGGAAGAGTAGAGCTTTGGGACATACTACTTCGTCATAACTTTAACGGACAGCTCTGCCGCTTAGTTACGTGCATCCTGTCACCATTGAAACTGCAGTTAAAATCCTCCATGTTCAATTTAATTTAATTTCCTACCATTTCGGAGAGAAATGTAGTAGCATGTTGATCTGCCAGTCGTAGGTCTTTCATGTGGAGACTCTCCTCATGTGTTTTCAATTAGCATAATAATGCATTTAAAAGTTAATGACCAAACATATCTTTACAAAAGTTCAACTACTGTTGCTGTTGCAGATGAAATATAATGTGGATAACATTGAATAAATATCTTTTCGTCATGTTATATACTGATTATTAATCACTCGAACCCCTTTATAAACCTCTCTACTTAACTGTCGGACTCGCACATCCGTCATGTTTGTAGTTTTTTAACACTTTTTATTTGAGTTTGTAGTTGTAATTGAATCCTCGTCCAATGCGCAATGGGTCGTGGGCAATATTAGCCATTAAGAGTATGCACAGATCTGCACTTTAGGATTCTAAATGGAAAAAGTAGACCATCCGAGTATCTTTGGAATACTCATTTCAACATACTACATTTGGGACACACCAATTCCAATTTTAAATATACTATTTAGGATGGATAGTATGCGAATTGGGATGCAGCTTTATGCTTTCAAAGCTAGCTTGCTATTGCTAACCTCTCTAAAATGACCTTCCCTACCTTTAAGGTACTAATATGCCCTGAAGGGGAGAATCTGGAATCCATTGCTGCTTAAATGTATATCTAATGAGTGATTATAATCAAGGTATTAATCAATATTTTTTCTTCTAAATATCAAATGTGTTAGACCTCTGAGATTTTACTTTGTTATAGAAGTTACCAGTGTGATTACTGAACTGTTCTTTTCATGTATTCTCTTATGTCTGTATTTGATATCTGAATGCAGTAACAGTGCTTGATTATTTAGCCCGGCTTCCAGAAATGAGATATGGACTCGTTTTGTGTTTGAGAAAGGTCTTCAACGTGTTAAAACATACAGGGGTCATTGAAGTCTATAGTTTAAGGGACCATTTCTCAGTTAAAGCCTTCCATTTAGACTAAAGTATGTCCTATCCTTGAGAGAAAGAACTTATTATCTTGACTCTCCTGTTTATATAGAGCCTGGCCAAATCCAACCTTGGAAAAGCTGTGTGTCGGTGTGTGTGTTGGTCTTTTTGGTTACAGGTTAAGGAACCACTGGCATTATTGGAGATTGACTGAGTTGTTGTTCTGGACAGGCTGGCGCCCAGCAACCCAAATCTGCGACCTGGAAGGTCACGGCGTGCCTAACTTCAGGGTCCGAGTGTCAGCCGTATAATCGATGGAGATATGCTTCAGTCTATCTGTATATGTGTGGAAAATTACTATGTTTATCTATTTCTTAGCCAATCAGAATCATTCAACCTGAAGCAAGGACGTAGCTTCGACCTTGGTGAAGGGTATAACAGCTGTGATCTTTGTAATTGTAAGCGGGGCGGCCTACAAACTCCTTGGGAGTCTTGAAGCTGACTTCTGCTGATGAAACTGCAAACTATCTTCAGTAAAACGTTTCTTTAATTTACTATAATTTTGACTCTTGTCTTAATTAATCATTTCTGGTTCTGGGTCTTTGACTGTAAATACAAGAGGTCTGGGTCTTTGACTGTTAATACAAGAGGTCTGGGTCTTTGACTGTCTTTGACAGCAGGGGCAAATGTGTACCTTTTGAAAGGGTACCGGCCCATGACAGCTTTTGTACCTTTTTGTCTGAGAGTGAATTTACAATTTATTATTGATTAAGTTTATATAGAGGTCTATGTTTTGGATGAATATTTGGGTGGGGCACTGCCCCACATTCCCTTACAGAGCTGCAGCTGGCCAGTCGGCAAATTTGGCTAGGGCATCAGGTTAAACCCTTACTAATGTTAAGAAACACCCTGTGATTTTTGTTTTATGAGCACAAAGAGTCAGGACCTCAGTTCAACATTTCATCTTTTTACAGCACAGTGTCCCTCTGACTATTTTAGGGGTTTTGGGATCTGCAGAAACCCCCTGCTGGTCTAAATAACACCCAGGTTTACCCAGGAGTCTACCATTCAGGTATTGACTCATCTCTGCTGCTTCAGTAGAGTTGCAAGGTCATAACTGCCAGCTAAATGGCAAGCTACCACCCACATTGAGCATCTCGAAAGGTCTGTATACTTGAGGAAACTACACAGAACACTGATGTGCTTGATAACATCCCAAACAACATGATACGGTCAATGTTTGTCCATGAGTGTTTCAATCCTCTTTGGAGCAAAGGAAACCTCATTATGTGATAGGCTAAGGACGGTCATAACGGTATTTCTTTCTTTTTTTTTTTAATCATGATATATACAGTATATGATGATATATTTAGCCACACAACTAAAACAAATTTGTTCTAAGAATGATTTGCTAATGTTCATATTAAGTTTAAAAATAAATAAATCTGAATGTTCTCTGAACATTCCAAACCTCCAGTTCTTAGTTATGCAAATGTTAATGAAACATTTAATTTGATCATTTTGCAAACATTAGAAACATTTGGAAACAAGTAGTTGGCTAACATTTAAAACATGTTAGATGAACATCCAACTAAAAAAACAACAACAACAACAATAAGACCAGATAACTTCGAAAGAACATTCTATTAACATTACTGGAGAATTTTTGTTAATAAATTTGAAAGAACATTGCCAGAACATTAGCCACGTTGTGAGAACGTTCCCTGTTAGCTGGTTATCTGAAGTGCCTGAAGAAGAATTACAACCTGTCTGAGAGTTGCCACCATGGCGAGTGATAACAATTAGTTCAAGTGCTGAAAAAGTAAAAATCATTTCATCCAGAAATCAGAAAAGGGTGCAAATATAACAGTTCAGTGCAAAATATGTTTGCCAACTAAAATGCTATTGACATCAAAGGTTTCAATGTCGAACCTGAGGAAGCATCTGCAGGGATGAAACTTAGCCTTTAACTGTAAGCAGTCATTAAATAAAGTAGGAAAGGCATTGCCTACTCCCGCCTGCCACACCATGCTGCTAATGTGTATTCAAGACTTGTTTTAGCTCTGTATTGCTTGGTGCATGTCCAGTAGTTTATTTAACAATGTTAATCTCCATTCATAACAAATTAGCTAGTCTTCTAGCTTGCTAAAGACATCATACCAGCCACACTTCTATTTATGAACCATTTGACAGAAAATATATACCTAACGTTTTTTCTGGTAACCATGCCATCTCTAATATTTGTTATTTTAGCATTGTTGGAGTTTCTTGTTAAATAAATTATTCTTGCAACCTGTCTTCATCTTCGCCATCTCTGGATCAGCAATACAGTTATACTACTTTAATAAAGTAATTGAAATAGTTACACTACTTATTATTTGGGTAACTTGTAATCTGTAACCTATTTCCAAA